CTGTAATTGCACATGTAGATGTCCCGTATGAACATAACCACATATATGCCCTAGGTGAGACCCTCAACTGGTTGAAATCAGCTGCCATTCTGGCTCACCACTTACGAGCCTGCGTATAAAATACCAGTCACCAAAACCTGCATTGCAAGGGACCGTGTTGTGCCAGTAGTATCTAATCTTCAGAACTCTTCAGTGAAGTCAGTACAAGGCAAGAGTTCCTGATCTATTTTGTACCACTTCCCTGCTTCCCAGCATCTTACAACCTGCCTTCTCATCCAAGCCCATCTGCAGTAATTGGATTTCCTCGGGGCCTGTGAGCCCTTAGCTTGGGAACCACTGCTCTCTGCATAGGAATGAATTTTGCTGAAAGTGAACGGAAGTAAAGCAGGAGAAATAGTTCCCACCCCCCTCCATTCATACAGTGTAGGTATAATGTAGATTGCAGCACTTGTTCACAGTGATGGCTGGGAAACCTGCTGCAGATGCTTGAAATTTGCCAATTGGCAAGCATAGTGTTCAAGCCCTGTAAAACAGTGAAAAACATTGCATCGCTAAATGCAGCTGTTCATTTGTCTTGACGCATTTTAATTTGGAGTGACGTATCCCCGACAATACTTCATAGCATGTTAGGAACCATGCTGCTATATATTTTGTGGAAATGATGTGGTGTAAGTACGAGACCTGCTTTCTTAGTAACACAGTGCTCTTGGTAGCAATACAGTGCTCCTCTATTAAATCCTTGCTGAAGAGTCTGGTGTGGCCGCCAGGGTTCATCAAATGTACAGATTAGTTTAGTGAGAATTAGTGAGGCTTGACCGGAGATGTTTCAGTAAATTAAAAAGCTGTTTTGTATGATGCAGTGATACTTCTGATACAACTGTAACTGTTTGCTCAGTAGTTTGTATGCTCCTGAAATATATATATATGCATGCATGTATGTATTATGTGTGTGTGTGTGTGTGTGTGTGTGTGTGTGTGTGTGTGTGTGTATATATATATATATATATATGTATATATATAATTTGAGAAAAACGGGGACAACAGCATTCTTCTGGGTGTGAGGTCGTAGTTCTTGATAGCTGCATATTCAACAGGCACTGAGAGCAGTTTGGCACACAGTACATGGAAGGCATTCATAGAGACGCTTATAATTAGATGCAGTGTGATGTGCTTTGAACTTTCATAGCTGCTTTTATCCAAAGATCTCTTTCTTCTCATTGTATAGATAGGAGGAATCGGGGCACTGAAAAGTTAAATGAGTTGCCTACGGTCATGGAGTCAGCCAGCAGCAGAGAGAGGAATATAGCTCAGGTTTCCTGATTCTTAGTTTGATGCTCTAATCATGAACTAAAAGCATGAACTAAAACATGTTCTTATGTCCTTGGATCAACAAGGTTACAACCTACACCCCTGAACTAAAACATACAGTTAAAAACCCTACCAATATTCATGTCCTAGAGAAGGCTTCAGCAAGTGTAAAGAGTATATTCTTACCCACCACTGACCTATTATAGGCTTACTTTTGTATATTCATTCTATACTTCCCTCTGATGTCTTTAACTTGCTGTGGAAATTTGCTTCAACTCTGCAACAACTTACTGGCAAGGAGCAGAATTAATCAAAGCAGGCTTCTCTTTTGCTGAATTTAGCCAGCGAGTTGCTCTTAACTGTCATACTGGAGAGTAAGAAATTTGGTGCTGAACTCCAGGAACAAAAAGATAAATCCCGGCATCACTGGTCAGATTAAAACAATTACTCAGGGGAAGGGGAACTCCAGAACTGAAGACCTTGCAGTCAACTGAAACAAAAGGTCAAAGCATCACAATTTTTTTTGTTTTTTTCAAATGCAACAGAAACTTAAACTATTTTTCCTTCTTGTGACAAGTTCATAGAATCATAGAAAAGGAGGGCTGGAAGGGTCAGGAGTCCAGCCCCTTGCTCAAATTTAAATCATCCCTTTCTAAACCATCCTAGATATGTGTTTATCTAACCCAATTGCAAAAATTTCCAAGGACAGGTATTTTATAACCTCTCTAGATAATCTGTTCTAATGTCTAACCTCCCCTGCAGTGAGAAACTTCCTGCTAATATCCAACCTAAATTTCCCTTGCAGCAATTTAAGACTGTTACTCCTTGTCCCCTGTGGCCACAGAGAACAGACTAACATCATTCTCTTCATAGCCACTCTTCAGGCATTTGAAGATTGCTGTTGAATCCCCCCTCAGTCTTTTCTTCTCTAGACTGAATCGTCCCAGCTATTCCAATTTTTGCTTGTAAATTGTGTTTCTTAGACCTCTGAATTTTTTTCTTGCTCACTGCTGGACCCTTTCTAATCTGTCCACATCTTCCTTGAAGTGTGGTACTATGAACTGGATACTTTACTCTGGATGAGGCCGTACCAGTGCCAAATAGAGTGGAAGAATCACTTCCTTTGATTCGTAAGTGATGCTTCTATTAATACTATCCAGTATACTATTGACTTTGCAACAAGAGGACACTATTATTGGCTGTTGTTCAGTTTATGGTCCACGATGACCCACAGGTTCTTTCTTGTAGTACTGCAGTCTACCTGATCATTCCTCAGTTTGTATTTGTGCACATAATTGTTCCAACCTAAGTGTAGGACTTTGCACTTGTCCTACTGAATTTCATTCACTTAATTTCCCACTAGTTCTCCAGTTTATCAAGGGCATTCACAATCCTGATCCTACCCTCCAGTGTGTGCAGTTGCTCTTGGCTTAGTGTCAGCTGCAAATTTGGTTTGGGTGCAGGTTAGAGTTTGAGCCTTTCAGGGTAGGATTCGATGGCACCAAACTTTTTTCAGCTGGCCTTGTAAACTTTTAGTGACATGTGATGAAAATCTTGTGCAATCAGCTGATTCATAGATGTTAGGGCCAGAAGGGGCCTCAATAGATCATCGAGTCCGATCCCCTGCCATGGGCAGGAAAGAGTCTAATGTCCAGTCTAAATCTGCTCTCTGCTAGCTTGTGGCCATTATTTCTTGTAACCCCCGGGGGTGCCTTGGTGAATAAATACTCACCAATTCCCTTCTGTGCCCCGATGATGAACTTATAGGCAGCCACAAGGTTGCCTCTCAACCTTCTCTTGCGGAGGCTGAAAAGGTCCAGTTTCTCTAGTCTCTCGTCGTAGGGCTTGGTCTGCAGGCCCTTAACCATACGAGTGGCCCTTCTCTGGACCCTCTCCAGGTTATCCACATCCCTCTTGAAGTGTGGCGCCCAGAATTGCACGCAGTACTCCAACTGCGGTCTGACCAGCGCCCGATAGAGGGGAAGTATCACCTCCTTGGATCTGTTTGTCATGCATCTGCTGATGCACGCTAAAGTGCCATTAGCTTTTCTGATGGCTTCGTCACACTGCCGACTCATGTTCATCTTGGAGTCCACTAGGACTCCAAGATCCCTTTCCACTTCCTTGCTGCCAAGCAGGTCATTTCCTAGGCAGTAGGTATGCTGGACATTTTTCCTCCCTAGGTGCAGCACTTTGCATTTCTCCTTGTTAAATTGAGTTCTGTTGTTTTCTGCCCACTTGTTCAACCTGTCCAGGTCTGCCTGTAGTTGTTCCCTGCCCTCTGGTGTGTCCACTTCTCCCCACGGTTTTGTATCATCCGCAGACTTGGACAGAGTACACTTCACTCCCTCGTCCAAGTCAGTGATGAAGACATTGAAGAGTATCGGCCCAAGGACAGAGCCCTGCAGGACCCCACTGCCCATGCCCTTCCAAGTTGATACTGACCCATCCACCGCCACTCTCTGGGTGCGACCCTCTAGCCACTTTGCCACCTGCCGGACTGTGTAATCATCCAAGTCACAGCCTCTTAATTTGTTCAACAGTATGGGGTGGGATACCGTATCGAAGGCCTTCCTGAAGTCTAAGTAAACGATGTCTACCCCTACTCCTGCATCCAGGTATTTTGTAACGTGGTCATAAAAAGAGACTAGATTAGTCAGGCATTTTGTGAGGATTCTGACTGCTTTGAATCTGTAGGAACAACAATATTTTTTTTCCTGGTGTTTAGCCAAGATACAGAACAGTAGAGCATATTTAAGAGGGGATTTGAATCCATTGGTTTTACGTTTTGTAGTCACAACAAACCCGAGGCCACTTCCAGCAGCCTCAGGACAGGATGCTTGTGGGGTTGCTTGTGACCCCTCCATCCGGGCAGAGATTGTAATGAAGGATTTGGGGTAAGACAATGGGAATAGTAGTATAACGGAGGGGAGGCAACCAAGGCAAAGGCACTGTTATGCCTCTGAATGGAAATGTGGACAAGGGCCTGCATAGCTTTATGCAAATCCTGGAGGCTGGACTAGCACCATTGGCACAGAGTGGCTACATGCTAAGAAACAAAAGATAAGAAGTCAGAGGCAGAGTTGTAAAGATAAGAAACAAAAGATAAGAAGTCAGAGGCAGAGGTGGAAAGAATGATCTTAGGAAGCTCGCATTAGTGTAGCGAAGAAGAGAGGAAGGGATAAGTGTGCGTATAACGGGGTGATATGGTTGGAATGACAGGCGAGAGAGTATCTTAGTCATAGTGTTTGAATATCCTGAGGATTTCAGTGTGGATGTTGGGGGCCAGGGAGGAGGAAGAAAACAGTCAGGGCATGGGTTTTTGTCAGGTGGCTAGGAAGATCATTACAGAGGAGGACATATTAAACTGTGTGTCTTGTGACCTTACTTGTTGCTTACCTCCCCTTGGATTAATGATTTCTGCATATCACAAGAGCACGGAACAAAAATGTACTACATCTTCACAATAGCAACGTCACTGTATATCGTAAAATTAAGCTGTGAAAGAGCTGTGAAAATAGGCCATGAAAAACAGGGGGGAAAGAGGAGTATTTGTTCCTGAGGGAATTTTGGAGAGACTCCAGTCAAGGGAAGGGTAACTACTGTGGATCGTTCAAACTGCAGAATGTTTTAAAATGTACCTTTTTGAACACGTTCATGTATGCTTCTCTCTCTCTCTCTCTCTTTTTAAGGTCTATCTTCCTCTTCTGAAAAGATACGCAGAACTTGAACAAAAGGTGCTCTACAATCCAACCTCATCTAGTTAAACAACAAAGAAAAATCTCGCCTGTGGAGTTGGCTGCCAAGAAGATTGTAAAAAAGCTTATCAGAATTGACTGAATTTGTTTAAGCCAGTCTTCCGTGCTACATACCTGAAACAGTCTAATTAATACAAATCAAAATGGTTATTTTTAATGTTGGCAATGGAAAGATTGTGAAAGATTTACATCGTACTTGAATCTATTCAGGTGGTTGTGTGCGTTGTCCGGTTCCTTTCAGAACCGCGCTGAGCATGTTGTTTTATCTGGATAATTCTGCCAGTCTGTCTGTCCATCTCTCTCTGTTGGCATGTCTGCCTGCTTTGAGTGTCCGTGTCTCACCTTCGCTGGGCCTACCTATTTGTATATCTGTTTTTCTACTGTATCTTTTTCTTTCAACCTATCAATGTTATCTGTACATTTTCTCTCTCTCTCTGTCATAACTGTCTTTCTGTATATCTGTCTGTTATATTTGTACCAGTGTTCACTTAACATAAAGTCCACAGAAAATAACAGCTGTTGAATTTTCTTGGCCTTTTTTTTTAAATAGGAGCTTTATGCGTTATACAGGTGGATACATATTTATGAAAATCCTGTGTGGGATCCCCAAAGGAACAATTTCCTTATTAGGTGGTGGTATGGTGAGTCCACTTAGATCAAGATGGAACATCACATGCAAACTTTTGGGGTTGCATGTATATAAGGTGGAAACTTCAAAAGGTGGAGGAGGAATGAGGGAGGGGGAGTAGGAAGGAAGAAGTTTAAATAAAGTGAAACCTTATGAACAATGTTTCTCCCTCCTCCTCGCTTTTGGGGAAAGCAGAGAGGGATAGTTTTTGCTGCTCACTGGCTTTAGAGAATGTTGCTTACCTGCTGCCTCTATCTTGGATATCCTGGCTGGAGAGTTATGCTCGCTATTCTGTGCGTTCGAGTATGAGTAAAGGGTCACACTTGGAACATCTCATCAGACCATGAAGATGGCCCCTACATTCAACAGGCCTTTCCCCTTTTTTTGATGACACCAAGCAAAATCAGTGAGTTGCCTTGCTCTGACTTTACTCTTGTGCTAGTGAAATACGAAATCCAAGAAACCTTGCTGAGACCGTCTTCTTCTAAAACAACAGATGTTTCTGCAAGAGATGGGCATAAGCCAGAGCTTTGGATTTTAAATATCTGTTACCTTTGCAGAGCAAGAACTTTATGTTTGTATATGATTGTACAGTTCCTACTGCAGCAATGAGGCTTTTGCACACTACAGTGATATGTAAATGATACACACCAAAAACCCACATTAAAGAACTGTTTGGGTTGCAAAGGCGATGCTCCCAAGTTGGGAAATGTTAAAAATAAAGTTGCTTGTACAGCTTTAATTCAGCCCTCTTGTGCATATGCACTAGGACAACCTTTGCCAACAGGACCACGTGGTATTTCTTCTCTCCTTAGTACACAGGATAGATGTGTTTTGGGGGTGAATCAGGGTTGTGTGGTGAAGAGGAGTGTTGCAGGTAGTCTTGCCTCATTTCTTGCAGAAGTTAGGAGGTATGTAAGGAGTGAGATGGGGATTTGCACAAAAAGAAAGGATGGCCACATGCTTAAGGCAATTGAATACTGCCCTGCAGAATTGGATTCTCTCCATCACTGTATCTGATTTTGGACAGGTCGTGTCAACCAACTTCCATCATGTGACAACTTATTGATATCCACGTTGTCCTTTATGTCCATTGCACAAAACTGCCACTTGAGGTAATAAGGAACTGGCAGCAGTAGCTGACTTTTTTTCTGAATGGGCCTGGAAAGATGGCATGTTTACACTGGCACTGTCAGCTGCCCTGAACCTTTTTGATGAGGGCTACATAGAAATCAAATAAATAAATATAATTGGATTTTATACCAGTGGAAAAATGGATGATATAATTTCCTACACTCTGGTATCTTTGGCCAATTTAATATAGAATCAGAGGTAAAACTACAGTGGTGCAAGTAACACTGATATAGGTATCGTCTGTTTACAGCTTTTCCAAGATAGCTGTGCAGTAATAGCATCTATTTCCTGCAGCTGCACTGGGATAACTGTTCATGTCTGCTGCAGAGCCCAGTTTTATTTACATTGATTTATAACGTGGATACATTGAGTTACACTGGTGAAAAATGTCTCTTACAGGATCTCTGTGGGCCACCCTGAATGGGGATGGGACACTTTGCAGGGGGTATTACAGATGTTAGCTGACTGAGAAATGTTGAGACCCAGGGATCTTGGGTTCCATTATAAGCTTGGAGGGGTCACGGACACAGACTCTTTTGCCCCTTCCTCTCCACCCAGAAATGATCCCTCCAGGCCAATGCCACAGATCACAGAGCAGTGCAATACGGGATGCATGTCTGAAGCAGCAGAAAAGTCTAAAGAGTATTTTCAACAAACGATTTGCTTTGCTTTGCGTTTGCTTTGTGCTTGTCCTATAGAAGGAGAGGGAAGTGGAATGTTTTAGACTGAATTCAAATGTAGAGGCAAGTGGGGAAGTCCCATTATACCATACAAACAAAAGACACAAGGGTATGATTCTGTACTGTTTAGCACGTTATTTAAGTGGTTTAGAGCATTATGCCCTTGCAATGTGGGCATAAAATGCTGCTGAATGTGAATGGTGCCATCTTACTGATGCTTTACACTTACTTTGCACAAGAAAGATGGTGTACAATGCAATGTACAAGGTAGTAGAGCCAGTAGGCTATGGGTCAGAATGTCCCAGCTCAGGTTAGAGGTGAGGAGGTAGGTGCTGGGATCTAGTTGCTATCACTGCTTCTCTCCACCATGGCATGGATGGGGTGGGTGGGAGGCAGGAACTGTCTGCTGCCAAATTCTGCTGCAGCCCCACATCCACATGCCAGATTCAATGGATCTGTGGTAGGTTGCCAGCCCCTACAGTAGAGCATTGGCTGTCTTTCCCTACATGTTATCTGAACCCTATGGCTAGGGACAGACATTCAAAAAGCCTGAGCCTGAATTGATTCAATCTTTGCAGGTTAGTCTGACCTGGCTAGGCTAAATCATTTTGTAACTGCACAGACATCCTACAGTGGCTCATGCCTGCAGTGGCTCAGGCTAGAAGCGGGGTGGCGGGGGGCGGTGCTAGAGCAGCCCTCCCTTCCCTTCTATAGTGCTGAGCTGAGGGGACATGGAGGACACTCTGATAGGGGTGTGTTCCCCCCACCTCCTGACCCTGCCCAGCAGGGAATTGATAACAAGTATTTATCACCCCTAACTCAGTGTTTATTACCCCATTAAGAAAACAGAGGGACAGCACCAGCTACCTGTTGATTCTCCCTTTGTCCCATCTGCCACAGCATGGACCATAGCCATCATGTGGTCTGCTAGCTACTGTTGATGTGTCTGTAAGTCAGAGGGGATGGGGACAGGGACAGGAAGGAGCAGGCAAATATCTGCAATCTCTGCCGAGCTCCAGCCAGAGAGCAGAGGGGCGGGGCCAGCTCTGCTGTGGAGCAGAGAGCCCCGCCAAGCTCAGAGAGCATGCCAGGATGCGGGGAGAGTCTGGTTTAACTTAAACCAGAAAGGGGTCTGGGACAGACATTGCATAAACTGGTTTGACCCAAATCAGTTAAGTCTGACACTGCATTCAACCAGGCTTATCTCAAACCGGTTTTAGCCATTTTCAAACTGGTTTACGTGCACTGAACATCTGTTCTATTACAGGTTTAAACCAGTTTCTGATCACTTAAACTGGTTTATGTGTAATGTCTGTCCCTAGCCCATTGGCAATGCATAGGGGGTGCATGTGGGTGCATGTGCACCCCCTGAAATTGGCCGTGCACCCCCTGGAAACACCAGCTGTGAAACCAGAAGTGCCGGCGGAAGTATACTTCCGGTTTCATTGCTGATGATTTTGGGCTTGGCGATTGGCCACTAGGGACCCCCTCCCCTGGTCAGCGATCTGGTGTCGCACCCAGACTCGGGAGGCACCAGTCGCCCATGCCCTACCCTATTTGTATAATTCTTCTCTTGGCTTGTGATTGCAATAATCCCAGCCTCCACTCACTCTGATTGCTTTCGTCATATCCCAAAACAGCCTCTTTGGTCAATCAGTGGCAGAGCTTTGAATCATTCTTCCTATCAGAATGTATGATTTTTTTTTTCCAGAGATTTCCCTGCCTCCCAATTTATTTCACCTTTTCATATGCCCAGGCATGAGGTTGTAGCTTCTACTTCTTTCTTCCATGAAGTGTGTTCTAGGTTCTAAGGGCTCCTTTTCCTTGATATTTTATTGAGCAAGTCTGTCTCCTGTTCAGAGCCATTCTTGTTACACATTTTACTTTGCTTGTCTTGATCGTCTCAGCATCTTAAATACTTTCTTGGGAAGTCTAAAGGAACTCTTCCAGTTGTTCTGTATCGTAGGCTATTTCTTCAGTTCTGTGTATGCAAATTCACTTTGTTCTCTTTCCC